TACTTACCGTTCTCTTCAGGAAAAAAAAAAAAAAAAAAAAAAAAAAATTTTGGCCTAAAAGGGAAAAAAAAAAAAAAAAGACATGAAAAAAATCCTGGTAATTGTACTTACCGTTCTCTTCAGGAAAAAAAAAAAAAAAAAAAAAAAAAAATGTTGGCCTAGACAGGAAAAAAAAAAAAAAAATACATATGGCTTTAAGCACACACCTGTGGACCAGCTTCAATTGTGCAATGTCAAGTCAACGGAGTTCGTTTGAGGTCCAGTCATGGAACGCAGCTCCACCTTTAGCACCATTGAGGAGATTCCATAAGTTCTTCCTAAAGCTCTTCCATGTGCTTCACTACTGAGAGAACGTGGAATCATTTGGAAGCTTTGTTAAAAGGCACTAAATGTTCAATTTGATTGTTACGTACAAACGCTGTCGTGCACGATGACGGTTTGTCTGCAATGTGCAGTCCGTCAGTAGCACTAATGAAATAAAATATTGTCATTAGCAAACAAAAAGCTCCTCCTCCTTTTCCTCCTCTCTCAAGAAGAATAGGGGTCTTTGAGGGACATTGGAGTGGATCCTATTGCCCCAGAGGGAGACAAATTGGGTCCGTCAAGGCTCATTGAAAGAGTGACTGAAATTGGTTTGCGGTTCTGCTTTTGCACCACCTAATAAAGACGAGAGACCTCGGATAGAAACTATGAGAGGGAGGAGGCAAACGACGAGGTAGGGATGGAAAAATCAGAGCAGAAAGGAGCCTGGCCTCGCCATGGCACATAAACTGTGCCAGTTGTCTCTTTTTTCTTCTTTTTTCTTTATAGCTGCGGCACCACAGTTGGGGCAAAGCAGGACGGTGAACACTGAAAACACAAACAGGCTGCTGTAATCTGGGCAGAAATTGCTGTTCTCCCACAGACGATTTCCTCGGGGACAAGTCCACAAATGTGAAGTCACTGCAAACATCATGCAGCTCGGGGATGGAAAGACAGGATCAGAGGAAAGGGAGTTGTTTGTGCAACCTGGTGGGATAACGAGGGGCATAACGGGCACTCGGAGTGGAGGGCGACCGAGGAGCTGCCATCAGTGACTGGATATGGCTGGTGAGGAGCGCACTTAGTTCCCACAGATCCGCCGTGCTGGGCACATAATCAGGGAAGGTGTTCAGGACAATTTGTCCTTTTTTTGGCTTTAAACACACTTCTACTGAGGCTTGTTAGTGTCACAGAGGAGAACCGATGGCAGCGAGGCACCGTCGCTTGGTTTCAGCCAGCCTCTTCTCTGTACAAACGTTTTACTTTTGGACCGGTTACAGTCCCATACTGCAGGGAAGCGGTTTTTACAGCTTCTAGTAAAAAAAACAAAACAACCTAAATATAATTCGCTAGGTCATGAACTTTCTGTGTTGGCAGTTGAATTATTATAAGCAGACAAATAAAAAGCTTGTACAAGTCTTTAATTCTTTCCACCCTCTCCCCAACCATCAGACTAATAACCCGTTTTCTCCCCTACTCGAAGCTGTGAACTGCATTTTTGAAACATTTTGCCAGCAAAATTTCCACAGCTGGGTTGCTATTTTACTAAATTTTATAGGATTCATAAATTTGTATGGCTTCAGCGTCTTTAAATAGATCAAATTTGGTGTTAAAGTAATGCTCTACAATCAAATCTGGGGTTATATTTAGTTATTACTCCAAACACTAGACGTACATGGACATTTTTATGGCTTTTTCAAGTCGGCCAGTTCCAGTCCGTACAGCGCTCTCTGCAGTGACGACTCTTGAAGACAGACTTGGTGGCCTCTACAGCTCTGTAACCGTCTGTGCATGGTGATAAAATAAACTAGTTCAGCCTTTTTTGCCACAGTTCCTGCTGTTTTAAACATTTTGATGGTGCTTTAACTGAAGATAAGAGCAGGATTTTCTGAAAATTAGCAAAAAGTGATCACGCTAAAATATTACGTTTTCTTGTGTTGCCCATGTGGAGCAGTGGGTAGCAGAAATAACCTCGTGTATGGAACACCCTCCTTAGACGGCCTGAAATATTTAAAGTGAATTATCGTACAAAAATGCATTGCAAGGTGGCAATTGTTATGCTGGTGATTATGTCAAACATGACATGAAATGTGTCCCCTTCCAAACAATGCTCCCAAATTAAATCTTCTATTTCTCCAAATCTCAATGTGAAGTTTAGCTACTGCTATAAAAGATACATTTTCTTAAAAAGCCTTTTACACATCTTGATCAGGCGAAAAATACTTTTACAATACAAAAATAAGCTACATAGTTAACTTTGTTAGCTCACGTGTTTTTACCCTAATTAAACCCCATCAGAGCCCGACTTTTACTGTCTACTTCACAACTGGACAACAACGTTTAGACATCAACAGACATTGACGCTACGGGTTACATGTTTAGATGAAGGGCAAGCGGTCTCCAAACTAAGATAACCGACAGCTGGACGCTTCACCGAAAAGCAGAAAAAGTGTAGAAAAAAAAAAAAATCCTTTAAGGTGTAACGAAAGTCAACAAAATCGAGCGCTGCCTTGCTAGAGTACATGAGCAGAGCTTTTGGTTGCAGCCCTTCATGAATCTGATTAACTGAAGTTTACGTTTGATAAATGAGGATTCCTGGTGCTCCATTCTACATGAAGACCTCAAAGTAGTTTTGAAACTTGCAGCTGAACAACAAAGGAGTGCAAGCTAAAAGAAAATAAGAAGGATAGAAAGTGGTTTCAGTCACTGCCTGTCCTCCAGCCTCCTAATGCCGCCTTACTGAAGGCATGAGGAAGGTAAAGAGAGTAAATGCACAGAAATATACCGCAAAGGTAAAAAAGAAGAGTGCCATTCGGTGTCAAAGTTTATGCAATCATTTCTTGATATGACAAAGCCTGTGTTGTGTAATTTTCTTTATAAGCAAGAACTTACCTGCCTTAAAAAGATGCAGCAAATGTCACTCGATTTGTTTAAATGTTGGGATGGTATAGTGAGGAAGATAAAAAAAAAATAGCAGCAAACTGATTCTCACTGCAGCTTATTTCGCTGAGAAATGTTTGAGTTAATATTGGTTGAATCGACAAGATAAAGAGACAAACAGAAACCACAGAGAGGAAAAAGAAACCTCAGAGTGTTTCCAGCAACCTTCCTCCTCTGCTCTAGCCAACGTTTTCCCTGCAGGATCTGAGCGAGAGGTGAGACACGCCTTCAAAGCATCAAAAAAAAAAAAAACATCACACAATTAAATACTGTCCGATTAATATTGAGGTTGTACGTGTGTTCTGTGAGTATATATGCTGATGTTTGCTTGTGTGTGTGTGTGTGTGTGTGTGTGTGTGTGTGTATGTGGATGTGTGTAAGAGAACGAGAGATCAGACAAGCATGAAAAATGATCCCGACTCTGAATAAAGCAACATGTTGAGAAGGATTGTAGGACTGGTCCGGCCATTAAGGTAAAAAAAAAAAAAAAAAAAAAACAAACAAAAAAAAGAGAAGAAGAAAAATAAGCAAACAAACAAATGACGACAACCGCAACAACAACTGCATCATCAACAACATCAACATCAACAACATCAACATTAACAACAAGAAAATCAAACTTAAAAATGAAAAAAGGGGGGAAAACAATAAACAAAAGCAAAACTCTGGTTCAGAGTGTCTCTTCATCTTTGGTATAAAAATGGCCATCCATGGGCTGCATTGGATCCACAACTAGGAAAGACTACAGAAATTGTCAACAATTTCTTCTATTGCTTTTGCACTGATTGGTTCAAACCATAAGCTCCTACTGAATCTACTGTTTTATTTCACTGCCAGAAGTTATTTGAATTTTTTTTACAAGTTTTTTTTTGTTTTTTCAGTTTTATTCTTTTTTTATATATTGTTTTTTTTTTTTTTTTTTTGCAGTGGGACAAGCAAAGCAGGCTAAAAACATCTTAAAGCTCATAAAAAAGGTAAAATGTGGCCGTTAAAAAGCACTAATGTCATCGACAGCGGCATGTAAAATGATAATGAGAATAAAAAAACAAGTTCAGCATTCGCAACAGGCTGCACCCACAGCGCAGCGCGTCTTCTTATGTTTTCTACTTTTTCTCGTTGTGTAAAATCTCTTCGATGCGTCACCCCTCCCACCCCGTCCCAACAACAGACATTTTGTTTACTTCTGACACGTAGTTTACCTCTGACATAATAATTATCAAAGTTTTCTTCTAACGAAGAAATGAAACAAAAAAGCTTTTTCTCTATTAAATCTGTACAGCTTATGTGATAGATTCTTTTTTTTTCCTCTTTAGAGCAACTCATTCAGCATTTTGAACCCCTTCCCCATAGAGGTCCAAGAGACGGTTTGCTTTTTTTTTTTTTCTTTTTGTTTTTAAACCCTCCCAACTAGACGTCAGACTTTCACTCTGTAAAAAGTTTCTGGCGCCCTTCAAATTAAGGCCATGAAGATTCAAGAAAAAAGAAGAAAAAAACTTTTTTTTTGTTTTTTTTTGTAATACATCTAGAAAACTAAGCTTTAACACTAGAACTTAAAAAAAAAAAAAGACTGGAAAGAAACCGTAGCTTAATATCTGAGGAAGACAATCTCTGTGTGTATCTCAAACTTTGCCTCCCCCTTTCTAATTACAAAATAAACTTCATCACCTACCAGCGCATTCAACCATTTATTTTTTTTAGTTTTCTCTTTTTATTTTATTTTTTTACCTTTTCTATTTTTTTTTTTATTAGTTGAGAATTTTCTTTGAGAAACTTTTCAAGCTTCAGCCCAGCCCTTTAGGCGGGTTTCATTCTCAGACTAAAACAATTTACTTCTTTGCACTGTGCCCAGTAATTTCCCCCACATCCCCCCCTTTTCCTCAGCACTCTTTGCCTCAGTCTTGATTTTTTTTTTTTTCTTGTAGGCCAGGTAGGAAATGAAAAAAAGTGTCTCTTTTTTGGTGCCTGGGCAATCTGGAAGTAATCTCTTTCTTTTCCTCACATTCACAGTGCAGCCACCCTCTGTCTCAAGGCAACGCTGTCACAGGAACATTCGCTCAGGCCGTTGCTATCTGATAAGAAGATGAGAAAGCAGAGAGACAGAGAGGAGAGAGAAAAGGGTTTGGAGTTGGTGGAATTAAAGAATATTTTTACAAACACAACAGAACAGAGATGACAGCTGACGGCACAATAAAGAATTAAAAAGCTGCCAAAAATGACACCAGCAGACTGGAATAATATGAATAATGTCTTAATGTCTTATTTTAGAATCAGTATTAAATGCCTGTTCTGTTCAAGAAATCATTCTTCAGACTGAAATACTTTGCTGCTTTTCTTGTTGTTGTTGTTCTTTTGAGTAAGGGAATACAGCACTGTCGAGATTTATATGAATCCTCAAAGACTTTTAAATACATTTTTAAAAAATTAGATTGAGAACCATTTTAAAAGCCAATTTAAAAGAGAAAGCATATATTTTTACTTCATCAACGTCTCTCTATTTAGTAATCCACGACTTCATTCGTTTATTTCTACCACTTTACTCCAACGTAAGAAAACCTGCTTTTCAAATAGTATTCATCTTCAGAAATCTTCAAATGGATACACATGCAAATTGTTAAATTAAAGAATAATTTCAATAAAAGGATATTATGAAGCTCTTCACACTTACTGACAAGAGGCGCTGATAAATGCAGAGATCATTGCTCTATGAAAAAGGGCTTATGATTAGGAAAATTTAAATAAAACATGAACTAATTTGACATTTTCCCCACAATACTTTATGCAAATTATTTTGACTCTAGAGTGGAAGGAAAAGTAAGATGCATAAAACAAAAGCGGGAAGCACAAAATAGTTTGGCTTAATTAGCCTATTAACTGACTGTCTTGTTCACCGCTGCTTTCTGAAGAGGCCAGTCGGAACATAAATTCATAATGAATGAAAGCTTTACAGAGACTCTAGAGCTTGTTCCAACAACCGGTGGCCATAGGCATTTCGTAGCAGCTTCCTTGCTCTGTGAATTATAATAACTGATCCCCACAAGCCAGGAAACACAGCAAAGTGTTTTCTTCACCTTTATTTCCACTGTGCAACGTGTAGTAAATGTTGCAGTTGACATGAATTCGGAAGTAAAGCTGAACTGTTATACAAACGCTGCGAAAGGCTAAATGAAACCTCAGCATGACTGACTCAACCATAATTCCCTTTTTTGAAATCATTAAAGTTGCATCATCATCCACTCTGGAAATCAAAACGGTCAAATAATAATTTCATTTCATACTCGTGTTTTATCAAAATCAGGCAAGAACACTTCCAGATCAGTCGAGCTCAGTCTACAATAACAGTTTAATGTTAGCTACATAAAATGTCTGCCACTGATGCCGTATTTCCTTTAAAGCACATGTGTCAAACTCAAGGCCCGCGGGCCACATGTGGCCC